TATCTTAGTTACAGGGAGATCCAGACATAATGAATTACAGCTGTCTAAGCGAGAAGATATGAATGCATGTACCAACTTTTCAGTATCAGATTGGGATAATGATTTACGAATACGATTAATATTTCTTAGATGGGAATATCCAGATCTACAAATAGTAGAAATGTGTGTTTCCATAGATAGCTGCGAATCAAACAAGACACCTAAGTTTCTAGCACTTGACGAAGCACTAACCAATTCTTCACCAATTGCGATACTAGACAAAGGACACGAGTCTTGTGAGAATCTCCGAGACGACATGCACACAAATTCAGTTTTCGACACATTCAAAAGTAGGAAATTACAAGACATCCAATCGCTAACATCTTGAATACATGTCTGAAGTATCACCCGGGCGCGAATTTGATCATCTTCAGAAACCGATAAATAAATCTGTGTGTCATCGGCGTAAAAATGATATTTTACGCCGTGACGTCGCAATAACTCGCCCAACGGACGCATGTACATTGAGAACAATAATGGCCCTAAGACGGAGCCCTGTGGAACACCGGTTTCTAATATAGACGTCATATCAGAAAATACATTTCCAATTTTCACTTTTTGAATGCGGTTACTCAAATACGACTCAAACCATTTGATGATGAGACCATTTAAACCAAAATTTGATCTCAACTTTGAATAGTTTGTGATGTAGAAACTGTAAAGACCATACTTTAGTAATTTGCTTGATACATAAGATCAAAAAATATTCAAAAAGAAAATATTTGTGATATAAAAGGCTGCAGTTTCTACATATTTGCATTGCACTCACACTCTTACAAATAAAACCATACTTTAGTTTTTCCATTCATTTGTAAGAAGAAAAAAATACAAAAAATAAAATATTAAATATATAGAAGAGTAAAAAATATTCGTCTGTGAATAGTTACGTATGTTTTAATGAGTGTAAATACAACTTGTTCACCCAATGACGAGTTATGGTGGCGCTGTTTCACTAGATCCAGTAAATTTGAACTGAAAACAAAAGTAGATGTCATTATGATACGCCTGAGGGCGCACTAATAAAACAAAAATGGCGACGCTCATGGAAGGTTTCGAGTTGTGCCCGCTTTCAAATGAAAATGATCTGTTAGGTATTACTGAGGACAACAAACAAGATAGTCGTGTTATCGTTACTAATCGCAGAGGTGTGACGATTTACAAGGTAAGTGAGATGATGGCTGTATTCCGCGTGTAGAGTGAGTGTCATTGCCCCCACGTGGTATATCGGCCATTCTGTTTGGTACATTACTATACTATATGTACTATTAAATGTGGACGGACTTTAATAGCAATGATTGGACTAGCCCTGTGTACATGGCTGCTTTGGGTGTAGTATTTGGGACCTGGCGACACCCGAGTGTGAGGTGCCGACAAGTTCCCAATTAGAACGCCCACCTCCAATTCTGTACACACGGGGTACATTGTATGGTATACTGAGCTATGACTGTACCAGAGTATTGGTTATTTATTTCAGGAATCTTTCGAATAAAGGTTGTGCTTGCTGATAGTGCATATAGAAGATTTACCATCTTCATTTACATTCAGCTGCCTTGTGTTTCCCAAAA